TAAACTCATGAAAAGAAAGTTGTCTTGAATGGTCACTCTTCTAAATCTTTTTGCATAGATTCAGTTATTCTCCAGGACTTTAAACTTGAACTTACGTTGTTCCTAATTTTCATCAATGACCTTCCTGATCTCATCAGCTCTGAACTTGCTATCTATGCTGATGACAAACTATTGACTCATGTCTTAATGTTATGTTTGATCGGGTTGATAAGGTCAAATTGGCAGCTGATCTCAAAAATGATATACAACATGTTGTTAACTGGGGCAAGAAATGGCTTGTTAATTTTAATGCCTCCAGAACAAAACTGCTCTCTTTTAATCACCTAAGAGAACATTATTTTACCTTGTATCACTATGCCTGAGGGACTCATTGCACCTTCTTAGACTAACTTTTTCCATTGACAATTGCAAGGTCTGTTGGAAAGTTGGTTCACTGTTCTGTCCAAAACAATTTTTCTTGCCAGAATCTATCTTACATATTTATAAGTTTACCACTTGTCTATGCATTGAATATTGCTGCTACATCTGGTCTGATGGTATGTATTTAGAGGTTCTTCACAAAATCCAAAGAAGAATTTGCAATGTTATCAGTCACTTTACTACTACCATAACATAACTTCACATTGACTTTTGTATAAACATTTTTATGGTAATTGTTCTGATGAGCTTTCCTCTTTGGGACCTTGACCTCATGAATTTAAGCATAGTACTAGATTAGCAACATCATTTTACTGTTGAAATGGCTAGATGTAATCATATTCTAATAGTTTCTTTTATCACACTTCACTACCGTGGAATTCTCTTCCAGTCTCTTGCTTTCCTGTGAACTATGATCTTCAAAAATTTAATGCAATATCAAATTGCCATCTTTTATCTTCTTGAATTCAGTTCTTTTATTGCCCTTTCTCCTCACTAACATTTTCTCATTTTCTTTCACTCTCAGTATCCTCTTGTGTCATAGTGGCTTTATTGCTTTGCTTGGGGAGAAATGATTTTAAAAAAAAGTTACCATTCAATATTTACTAAAAATTATAAAGGAAAATGGCCCATTAAAGTTTTCAGAAATCATTTACAAAATGAAATTTTTAAAGCTCATTTCTTAATTCTAAAAAATAGCAAAAACTGCAAATTTAACACTGATTTCTACTGTAAAATCTGGTATTAATTGTAAAATTCAAAATGAAAATTCAGTATTAATTATAGGTTTCTAAAAAATAATCTGGTATTATAGTTTTGTGCTTATAACACATTAATACCCACTGTTCCATTTTTGGGATGGTGGGAATTAATAAGTTAAATAAGTGTGGAAATGCATTAATGTTTATCAAGAAAGAATTGTACATTGGTTATTTTAATATATGTATTTGCATATTATCTACAGTAGGTGAATTCTGCCTGATAATACAAATACATATATCATGAGTAAGCATGATATATTGGAATTTTAAGAGGCAAACATTTGCCAAGACCAGAAGTGTGACTCATTGGAGATACATTGATGTTTATACTACTGTCCTGTCTAGAGCCGAGGTTTCAAAACCTTTTAGATATGTACAAGAAAATATAAAATATTAGCAATCCTTAACTTTTCTGTCTGTAATAAAACAGTGTGTCAAAAGGACAGTTTTTCACTTGATACTGCCTTCACTCCCTCAGCAATGTTTATTGTTTTAAAAAGCAATGATTAGAATTTTAATAAAAACCAAACATATGATAGTGAATTTATACAATTTCTTTCTTCTTTGAGAATTTACAACAAAAATAATAATCTCTATTTATTTATTTATTTATTAGACTGTTTATTTACAAATAATTTTATATTTCCAAAATTCTAAAAATTCAAACCAACTAATACAATGCAATGTCTCTCATTTATCAATTTATAAAGAAATAAATATGAAAATAATTTTTTTATTAATAAATTTATAAAAAAATGTCTGTAAACAAGAAAATTTAAATAAACAGATAACGATGTGTAACTGTAATTATACATTTTGAAAAAAATGAATTTTCCAAACATTTCTTTCCTGCAGTAATTCATTGACATCTTTATAAAATCATGAATAAAAAAATTTGTTTTCATCATTATTTTTAAAATGGTAAATAATAAATATTGCATTGTAGATGGTTTACATATTTTGATAAATTTTGTCATATTTTTTTTCTTTTCACATTTATTTCTTTATAAAATGGTAAATAATAAATATCATATTGTACTTCACATATTTTTATAATCTGATAAATAAATATTGCCAAGGGAGTGAAAATAATAAAACGTAATACTGGTGTCAAGGAAAAAACGTTTGTTTTTTTTTTGCATGTGCAAATGTTAAAGTTTGCTAAAATATTGATAACAATTATTTTTTTATTTAAAGGTTGAAATCCATTTGCCTGTTTCCTTCATTATTGTTTCTTGATAAAATTCATTTCACTTTATTATTCCTTTTTCCATTTCTCTTCCTATACCAAACATGTTTAAATAATAATGAGAAAACCTTTAAAAATAATATAGGTAATAATAGACATATTACAAATAATCACTGCTATAAAAACAGAAAACAGAGTAACAATAAATGGCAATACGAAAAATATATTATAAACAGATGACTGGCTTTTGTTTCTCTCACATAAGAGCTTGATTGAAGAATTAAAATACTGTGCACAATGACTAAAAGAAAGTGGAGTGGAAAATGAATGAGGGTAAGGCATACACATTTATCAATAATATATTGACATTTTAACAGATTATACTGAGATGTAACAACCATTCCTTATGCTTACACAAAACATTAAAAATAAATTAGTATACTCTATATTATTGAATTGACTAACATTAATGGGGAGAATATGTTTGATGAGCAAGAGCACTGATATTTGTTTAGATTTTGGTGAGTTTTAGTTGTAAGTCACCACAATTTAATTTATTAACTCTGGGCATTTATCAACATCATGGATAGACCAACTGATCCCAAAGGGTTAATAACAATCACTTTAGAGTGCTGTAGTATAGAGTGAAAGCAAATTTCTTTTTATTATCATTTAACTCCAAGCAAGATGATAATGCCACTAAGGTGCAAGAGGTTACTGAGAATATGAGAAAATGTAAGTGAAGAGAAAGTACAATAAAAGAACAGGATTCAGGAAGACAGATGGCAATTGATCTTGCATTTAAGTTTTTGAAGATTGCAGTTGAGGGGAAAGTAAGAAGCCGGAAAAGAGTTTGATAGGGAAGAAGTGTGAAAGAAGAAAGTATTACAATATAATCGTTACATCTAGCCATTTCAACAGTGAAATAATGAGACCTAGTAGCTAATCTAGTACTACACTTAAATTCATGCGATTGAGTCACCAAAGAAACCTAATTAGGATAATTGCCATAAAAATACTTATAGAAAAAGCACAGGGAAGCTATGTTATGACAATGAGAAAGTGATTAAAGCTAAGATGCTAACTCAGGAATTACAGATTCTTTTTTGGATTTTGTTGATAATCTCAAGATTATATAGCAGGAGCATCAGATCAGATGTGGTAGCAATATTCAATACAGAGACGAATGGTAGATTTATAAACATGCAAGATGGATATTAGCAAGAAATATTATCTAGTACAACACAGTGAACCAATTTTCCTAACAGCAGACCAAGAAATTTATTCAATATAAACATTCCCATTCATGCCAATGGAAAATTTGAGACTGAGAAAGGACAATGAGCTGCTCTTCTGGAAGTTATCATCAGCCATGCTAATGGAAGACAAAAATGATTCTTTAAGATGACTAAAAGAAAGCAGTATAGTTTTAGAGGCATTCAAATTTACAACCCAGTTCTTGCCCCAGTTAACAACAGATCAGATGTCATTTTCAAGATCACTTGCCAATTTTACTTTATCAAAGCTATCAGACAGTGTTATTAAGACAGGATTAAATAGTTATGTCATCAGCATAGATACCATGTTGGGAACTGATGACATTGAGAAGGTTGTTGATGAAGATAAGAAACAAAGTAGGTCCAAGGATAGAGCGCTGACAGACACCTGCATTAATGCGAAAGGATCTAGAAGAGTGGCCATTCAACACAACTTTCATTTCATGATTTGTTAAGAAAAATTGGATCAAATCAAAGATTTATTTGGAGACACTATAGCGCTTCATCATGTAAAGAAGACAAACTCTGTCAAACATTTTCAAGATCTCTACAGCCACAGCTCAAGCTTCACAGTTCTTATCTAAGTTTGATGGACTGTTTCAGTAAAAACCATTAACACTTTGGTGGTTGACCTAGAGAAGTGAAAACCATATTGCTTGTCTGAGAGAACACTGGGTGAAGTGAGATTCTTAACCAATTCAGAGTTGATTAGAGATTCTAGCACTTTACTAGAAAGGAGAAAACTAATACTGCAATAATTCAAAGGAACAAATGATTCAATCAAGTTCTTAAAAACAGAAACTACAGAAGAGGATTGTCAATGAGCTGGAAAGGAAGAAGCAGCAAAGCATTTGTTGTAGTGTTTAGAGAGAACAGGAGCCAGTTCTGGAGCATAATTCCTTAGGATAATTGCATAGATACCATCAAGTCCACATACCTTATGAGGATCAAGTTTGGAAATGATAGTGGAAACCATCGGTGGAGTTATAAGTATATCACACAGTAGAGAATTGGTTCTCAGTGGAAGATCAGGCAATGAGACTCCTGATGAATTTGAGATTGGAATTGGAATTATGAGCAAAGTATTCTGCTTTATTAGCAATTCAAATTCAAATTGATTGAAGAAATGAGGGATTGAAGATTTACTCTTATTTAACACAATCTTTCCATAACCAAGTTCTATAATTACTGAATATGTCAATAATCAACAGTATTTATTATTTAAATATCAACAATGTGGTTGACTTTAGATCACAACAATTTTACACATATTCCTGAATGTTCACTTAGAAAAGAAGAATTAAAAAAAAATGTGATATAGATATTTTCAATAAATAAAATGAAAAAGAAACATACCGCATCAATTCATGCTCTAATGAATTACTGCTCTCAGTTGTAAAGTTGAAAATTTGGCAATTTGTCAGATTTGTGTCAAGCAAGTATTTCTGCAGCTCCACAGATGTGGAACTTCCTAAAAATACAACTTTATTCTTCTTATGATCATCCAAATGCATCTAAATGAAAAAGAGAAAAGTAAGTGCGTGTGTGTGTGTTAGTATACATAAAATAAGTTTTATTAAATTCAACCAACAAGATCTGCCCATTTGATTTTTTAATGTATTTTTCTAATTTTCAAATAAATTGTTGTACATTTAGATCTAAATTATGAATAAACTGTGCAAAGTTGATGTTTTTGTTCTATTTTTGTAAAAGTACTTTTGACAATCTCAGTTACTATCAAGGAGTCAACATTATCAATATCATAAACAAAAGTTTTGTTAGCTACATGCTGACATTTTTTGAAATAACACATTTCAAATTTAAATCTGATCTGAGGCAGTATATAAAGATATTCTGATTCAAAATAGAAAGACTGATCAATACATAAATAAATATTGAGTTTTGAACAAAAGTCAGTAGCATTTTTCAATAGGTGGCACAGGAAACAAATGTTTTTGTTTCACACATGATTGAAACTTATGACATATACACATTTTCTGAAAGATGATATTTCTGTATGATGCATGTTGATTGTGGATTTTAAATGATTTTATGTTAAAGGTGTAACTGGAAGAAAATAAGATGCAATTTCATCATGTGATGCTCTTTAATTTTCAGAAAGGAAAAACTGTACAAATAGTAAAAAGATAAGTGCCATTTTATGGAGATAGGATCATAGCTGAGAGTATTGTTTGTAAGTAATTTGCTAGCTACAGAAGTGGAAATTTTGATCTCAAAGTCTAAGAACATTCCATCAGGGTTGCAAATCAAAATGCTGTTTAAAAAATAATCCAGGTCACACAATATGGAACATTACAGATCTATTCAACATATCTCTTATGAGCATTGTAAGGCATTTGAAAACACCTAGATATATGAATTGCTATGATGTTTGGGTGCCTAACAGAAAAAATTTTAATAGGCCATATTTCCATCTGCAATTCTCTGCTCAAACGCAAGAAAATTTGCCCATTTTTGAAAAGAATAATCATAAGCAATGAAAAATGGTTTGTTTACAACAATGTAAAGCAAAAAAGGTCCTGGTAAAAATTAAATGAGGCCCTATTAACCACTTTCCTAAAGTTGATATGTATCTGAAGAAGCAGATGCAGTGTATCATGAGATTAGAAGGGCAATGTGCATTACATGCTCTTTCTGTAAAATTCAAATGTGTACTCTTCCCAATTGTATTGGTAAAAAAAGCCAGCAATTAATGAAAAGTTTGTAGAATTGTCCAGAACAATTCCAGATTTCAAATCTATTTGCAAACCCAGCTGAAATTGATACAACCATTCCTGCAGCTTTAAATTATCACTTTATTTCAATTCCTACAAAATTCTTTTAATGGGAAGAACTTCAATTTTCTAGAAGCCAGCACCCTCCACCAAAAAAAAAAACACTTCATCCCCCAGATGCCAAATTCTGAGAGGATGGTATCATGAAGTTACCTCAAAAATGGTGAAAGGTGGTGGAACAAAATGGCATATATTTATGTATAAATATCTAAATACTGTTGTTGAAATTTATTAAAAAAAAAAAGCTACAAAATTTTGTTCCAATCCAATACTATGCCAGTTATGTTAGAGTAGTGATATGCAAATTAGTATAATTTGCATATGAGCAGGTAGCTCATACGATAAATGGACACCAACTAGAACAGAGGTGGAATGCTTACTTAGCAATATACATGACATAACAATGGCGTCACCGATAGGATACTCTTTGGTCCTTGAAGACTCAGAGTATATAGACACATGGATTTGTTGCTTTGCTGCTAATGCCAGATGTAAAAAGTTGAAAGACAAAAAAACAGAGGAGGGGAAAATGAAATCACCGACTTGTTCGTGGCTACCGCTGGTTGTGAAGCGATATGAAGGATGCTACAATGGTTTACCCTCGAGAACTAGAAGAAATGACTTTCGAAGAAATAAGTCAGGTTATTAAGGGAAACATGAGGCCAAAGAAAAGACTGGTGATTGCAGAAAGGACCAAGCTTATGGCAATGAAACAGGAAGTCGATGAACCGATAGTAAAATATTTACACCGTTAAGAAGTGCGCGAGTAAATACTGTGAATTTGAAAAACTAGGAACAGGAGAGCAGACAACGGAAGAAGAATTAATCCAACTAAGATTAATTGAAGGTATGCATAATTCAGCACATAGATATAAGTTAATGGAACAGTTACAACTTACAAACATGCCTTTGAATATGTGTATAGAATTTATACAACAGCAGAATTAATACATACCTACAACCAAAATAAAAATAAATCCAAAGAAATAATGGCTGAAACATATATGGTACAAACAAAAAGAAAAAATTGTACGTACTGTGGAAAAATTCATGAAATGAAAAAAAAAAAATGCCCAGCCTTTGGAAAAGACATGTTCAAAGGTGTTTAAAAAAAAATCACTTCAAAGAAGTATGTAAAACGAAAAAATGGGAAAAGAGTAGAGGATGAAAATAGACAGATTTTTAATGTAAAAAAAAAGATAATATACAAAATACTGGATCTAAGAACGGAGATACAAAAAATAAAAGTGAAAATCAACGACTGTATTGTCGAAATGCAAATCGACACAGGTAGTGAGGTCACGATATTACCCAGAAATTTGAGGGAAAAAATAGGAAAACCGTTTTTAAAAAAAACCAGCGTACAACTACGTCAGTTTGATGGCTCGATTATAGCAATTATGGGTTACTTTGAAGGTTCAATAGAATTAAAAAAAAATATGAAATAGTACCCATTATAGTTACAAATTGCCGAAAAACGCATGGACTACTGGGGAATGACGTGTTAAAAAATAAATTCAACGAAGTTGATTAATGAGATAGAAATAGAAAAAACAGGAAAATTAAAAATTATGAAGCTAGCCTGAAATTAAAAAAAAAATGTTTCCCCCCTCCTACTACGAAGCGAGAAAAATACCAGTGCATTTATTACCGTTGGTAATAGCTAAATTGCGAAAAGCTAATAAAGGAAGACTTATTAGAACCTGCCCTCCAGGAGGAAGTAAATGGGCATCACCCATTGTGGTATTGAAAAAAAAAAAGATGGTGACCTGTAGAATTTGTGGAGATTATAAAATGAAATTGAACCATAAAAGTTTGTGCTGACTCGTACCCTATTCTGAATGTGGAAGTAGCTTTACATAAACTTGCTGGAATGAAAGTATTTTCGAAGATAGACCTAAAATCAGCTTACCACCAAATACCGATAAATGAAAATTTTAAAGAAGTGATGACCATAAACACACCTATAGGCCTGTTAAGGTGGAAAAGAAAAAAACGGCAAGTGCAATTTTTCAAAAAGCTATTGAAAAAGTAATAGGAAATGTTGAAAATAATCATCTGTTATCAAGACGATATATGTGTTGGAGATTTAAATGAAGATGATTTAAAGAAAAAAACTGAAAATATACTGAACCGCTAAGAGACGCTGGTATGACAATAAATACAAAAAAGTGTAAAACCAACAGTAATGAAATATCATTTTTGGGTTACTCAATATCAAAGGAAGGATCTCTCAGATAAAGTATTAATAGAAAAGTTCTAAAAGTTGCTACACCGAAAAATAAAAAAAGTTGGAGTCCTTCTTAGGTTTGATAAATTTTTATAGAAAATATGTACCAAAATATAATGAGTTGACAGAACCATTTGCTAAGTTAAGAAAAAAAAATGGAATTCATTTGGTTAGAATACAAACAGAAAGCCTTTGAAAACTTAAAACAGATTCTGGCAAAAAAGCCAATAGTACAAATTTTTGACCCTAAGAAGGACATAACTCTAACTACTGACGCTAGTGAGCAGTCCATATCTGGTATTTTGTCACAAGATGGGCATCCCATAATGTACTTATCGAGGAGATTAACAACAACTGAACACAATTATTCCGAATATAGAAAGGGAGGCACAAGCCATAGTGTGGACAACGGATAGAGCAAGACAGTTTTGATGGGAAAAAAATTCTTGTTGAAAAGTGATCTGAACAACTGGAATTTATTTTCAACCCAAGAAAAGAGCTACCGAAAGTTACAACGTCCAGAATATTACATTGAGCGATTAGACTGATGGCGTTCGACTTTGACATTGAATATGTTAAAGGGAATACGATACCACACGTTGATGCCTTATCTAGATTGAGGTTTTATATAGAGGAAAAGGACAAAAACGACGAGGAATTTGAAGACACATTCTTGCACCTTGTAGAAACCGATGTAATATCTGTAGATAAAATGGCTACTGAAACTACAAATGACCCAGTGTTAAATAGAATAATGTCGAGGATAAAACAGAATCGCTGGGGAAATTGTTCAATGGCTGAAAGACCATTCAAAGAAATTAGACATAGAATGACTATAGAAAACGGGATAATATGTAATGGAGACTTGGTAGTTCCACCAGAAACACAGAGGAGACAGGTTATAAAAAATGTACATGATGATGTACATTGTGGAGTGGCAGCTATGCAAAGAAGATTAAAATTGGAAGCGTGGTGGCCGGGGTACTCAAGAGACGTAGAAGACTACGTAAGAAGATGCAAAAAATGCACAGAACTCAGGAATTTTAAGCAAAAGAAAATACATGTATGGCCCCAAGTAGAACCATGGAGCAGAGTACACATGGACTATGTCTATGTCAATGGCATAGGACTATTATTAATATTAGTAGACGCATATTCAGGTTGGCCTGAAGTGGTGAGAGTACCTGATAAAAAAAGTACCACCGTAAAACAAATATTAAGAGTAATATTTTCGAGGAATGGGACACCGAGAACATTGGTGACTGATAACGCACCAGAATTTGTGGATGCTGATTTGCATGAATGGCTAAGAAAAATAGGATGCAGACCTTACAAGACCCTCCCCACCACCCTCAGAGTAATGGGACAGCGGAGAGGATGGTCCAGACGGTAAAGAAGGGCATAAAAGCATGCTTGCAACAGAAGGAGGAAGTCGATGCTTTTCTACCAAGACTACTATTAAGTTATAGAACAATTCCACATGCAGGCAGGCCGGAAAGTCCATCTGCCTTAATGGGCAGACAATTATGGTCCCCTTTGACTATGTCATATGCCACAAATCAAAGATGTGGTACAAAAAGAAATAGGAATATGCAACCCAGAGTCAGCCGAATTTATTATGCAGAAAGGACATAATACTGCAATATTAAATAAAGAAAATGGGAACAGTGTTCTAGCTCATGCTGACCAAATAAGATCCCAAGGAGAAGAATCGGATGAGGAAATGCCTTCAGAGATGCCCATTATTGACGTAACAGAAGAGTTAATGCAGAATTAAACTGCGGAGGAAGAAGCAGAGACGGATGAGTTAGAAGAGGAAGAAGTAGAGACGGATGAGTTAGAAGAAGAAGAAGTAGAATGGGACAAGTTAGAAGAGAAAGACCACAGTATGCAAGAGGAACAATTCAATTATAGGGAAAGACGTGATAGATCTAGATCTCCAAGGGAAAGGAAAGAGATAAAGGAAGATGTTCAGGAGGGCACAAGAAGAAGTACAAGAAGTACTCGTGGCATAAGGCCCCTCCGTTATAGGGAGATGTAGTGATATGCAAATTAGTATAATTTGCATATGAGCAGGTAGCTCATATGATAAATGGACACCAACTAGAACAGAGGTGGAATGCTTACTTAGCAATATACACGACATAACAGTTAGATTTGTTAATCTACAGAAAAAGAGAAATGACTTTCAATCAAGAATCTCAGATCATTTTCGAATGAATTCAAAAACAAATTTTGTAGCTAAATTTATGCTTTGTATTTTCAGATGTTTTATGTTTGATACTGAGACTTGTTAGCTGTATAATGAACTCTTATGATTAGTAGATTGAGTTGTACTCAGTGACCAACCCCAAATCTCATATTCCATGTACAGTCCATAATATACTGTTACTCTTGATTTGCATTTTGAATATATATATGCACACATATACTCTTTGTATCAGATAGATATAAGTTAGATTCTTTAAGAATGGATTCAAAGAAGGATGGTGATGTAATGTAATGTTTTAGGCTAGTGTTGGTAATAATGTTATTATTAAGATTTCAAAGTATTTTCTCTAATACAAAGAGTATGTATATAAAAAACAACCCAAGATTAAATGGAGTGCCAGTCCTCTGTGCCAGCTCACAGCACAAAGGTAAAGACATTATAACTCCTCCTACTAGACAGACACACATACACAATTATGAATAAATATCCAATGTCTGCTTAAACATATTAGAATTTTTACAAACTTACATACCTATAGAATTATCTATGATTTTAATGCATGTGAAACATGACTAACCAATGAGAATTCATCCAAACAAAATTAAAAATACCAGTTCTGTCTTTTTGTCTGTTTTCTCTCAATATCTGACAAAGCTTTAATAAAATAATGTTAGATTGATAAATGTTTCAAATTTGTTCTTTTATCTCATCATCCTGTCAGATTTGGATCCACATTTGATCTGTATTTGATCTTGAATATATATATACTTTCTCAAGTCACAACATTTATCAAAATTGAAAAATATTGATTTCTTTATATCAATTTAGAAGTGGAATTTCTATTCATAATATAAATATAGTGTCAAATTGATGCCTGATTTCTTAAAGAGTTCTATGTATTTTCTGACAAGTTTGACATGTGTTTATGTTATTGATATCTGTGTGTGACTGATATTATTCTTAAATAATTTAAAAACTATATTTTGAAGTTTTGAAGTTTTTTTAACCATTTTTTGCTTTTTTATTTTAACAGAGTTGCACAAATGTTGAGAAATAATAATTATTTATGCAGAGAAATTTTGTTGTGGATTAATTTTTACACTGTATTTATATTGCAGATAGCACTTCCCTTCTAAATTGATAAAAATAAATCAATATTTTTTGATTCGGATAAATGTTGTTGTTTGAGGAAGATTGAATAAATGCTAATATCCATAAATTATCCCACTAATTTTTTCCTTATTTTCTACAAATGAAACAGTTAAGTAGAGCTGAGCCTCAAACAAATGACAAAAAATAATATATTTCAAATGATAAATGTATTTTAAATGCTTTTTCATAAAAATTCCTTCTACAAAATACTTGCATTAACAAATAGAAAAGTTTCCTTACTTTGATAATGGTCAATGCTACAACATCTCTTCTTGTACTAATGTAAATAATACAGTTTTTTCGACAGTAAGCTCCTTGTAAGAGTTCTTCATTTATTGTTAGATTAATAGATTTTTTTAGTTCCATTTTCTTTGAAGCATCAGGTAGGGTGACTTTCATGGCTGCATGATTTCCATGGAATAAAAAATAAAAGAGTAGAAAAGAAAACACCTTTGCAATAAATTATAACATGTAAGTAAGAAATAATTTTTGAAATAAAAATGAGGAACAGGTACCTCTACAGAAATGTGATACCAAAGGTTTGAAATGAATTTTTAAAAATCTTTCTTGAAGCTTTTATTTTAGTTTTAATTTCAAGCTAATAGATTAAATTTAATATTTCCAATAAGCAAAATACTTTACTGTATTTCAAAACTAATTTAAATTAACTGGAAGGAAGTTTTGTTGTGAAAATTAATACAGAAAATTAAAATATTTAACACATTATAAATTATTCTAATTAAAATTGAAAAAAAAAATGAAAAACGATTACTGTAAAAATTCATTATCATCAAATTTTTTTTCTTAAGACAATAGTGTCCATAATATATTTTATTTGTAAAAGTAAATAAAAGCATTCCTAATTGAATAATGTCTTAATTTTATATCATTTTTTATTTTATGATTCAGAGCAGATTTAACTGGGGTTTATGTTTTACAAAAATAATTGATGAATTAAATTCTCCAAGAAGTTCTGCATATAACTAATATATGCACTAGGTGATACAAAAATTAATTTATCAAAATTTCATAAAATTAAATAAGTGGGGTAATGAATATAAAAAAAAAGTTTGACCAAGATTTTATGGTAACTATTAGGGTTAAACAGGCTGATTTTTTTGATGTTACATTAGATCTTGTTAATGATGTATTCCAACATTATATAAAAATTAATGCTAACCTAATATATATTCAATCCAATTCTAACCACACTCCATCTGTAATCAAACATATACTCTCATTTACAGAACATAGGATTAGCAAAAACTCATCCAACAAAGATATATTTGATAAATACAGTGGTATTTATAATACTGCTTTTAAAAATTTGTGGTTACACGTGTGCCGAAATCAAGTATAGAAATATGATAATATTGATCTAAGGAAAAGGAATAGGAAAATCATTTGGTACACAACCCCATTTAACCAATTAGTCAGTACTAAGTTAGGTGAGATGTTCCTCCATTTAATTGATAAAGATTTCCCTAAAAGTAACTCTCTTAGTAAAATATTTAACAGAAACACACTAAAGCTAAGTTATAGCTGCACTGATAATCTTGAAAAGACTATAAAGCCTAATAATAAAATTTTAAACCAATTTAAAAATTTGGATAATAATAATAATACACATCCCAAGATAAATACTGTTAATAATATTAACCAATGTAATTGCAAGGATTCTAATGAATGCCCATAAACCAATGTTTAATCACCTTGCTTGTTTATCTAATTACTATTTCTACAATAGAGAATCTGACTGTTGAAAAATTCTATACTGGTAATATTAAGAATTTTTTTAAGACTAGGTGGTATCTACATATGTTGTCCTTCACCAATACTGCTTATAGAAATAATAGATCACTTCCTAAATATTTTTGGAATTTAAAGGATGCTAAGGTCAGATGGAAAATTTTACAAAAGCTCTAACATGTAGATCTTTAAATGAATACTGTTTTCTATGCTTACATGAAAAAATAGAAATTATCAGATTTTCTGATAAAACTCCTTATTAAACCAAAGAAGTGAATTCACTGTAATTGACAATTTTTCATGTAAACACAGAAAACAGGGTTCATATAAAGATCTACATGTTCTAGCTATTTTAAAAATTTTCCATCTCACCTTAGGAGTTTTATTAGCATCTTTTAACTCCAAAAATATTTAGGAAGTGATGCATTATTTCTATAAGCACCATTGGTGAAGGACAAGATATGTAGATACCACCTAGTCTTAAAAGAATTCTTAGTACTATCAATATAGAATTTTTCAACAGTCAGATTCTCTATTGTAGAAATTGTACTTAAATAAACAAGAGATTTAGTTAAGCATTTCTTTGGTAATGGGCATTGTTCAGAATACCTACAATTACATTGGATAGTATTATCAATAGTATTTATTTTGGAATGTGCATTATTATTGAAATTTTTGAATTAATTTAAAATTTTACTATTCTGTAAATTTATAATATTCTCAAGATTATTGGTGTGGCGATAACTTAATTTTTATGCATTTCTATTAAATATTTTACTAAAAGTGTTAGTTTTAGGGAAACGTTTATCAATTACATGGAGGAACTTCTAGCCTAACTTCATCTATATATATATATATATATATATATATATATATATATATATATATATATATATATAATACGAATCCAGAAGTGGTAGGGATTATTCCAAGGAGGTCTTTTTACTATAAAAATATCAAAAAGTCAAATCAATGAAGAGAGCACAATATATATATATATATATATATATATATATGTGTGTATGTATGTATATATATGTATGTATGTATATATATATTATTGAATATATATAAACGTATATATGTATATATATTCAATAATATGTATATATATATATATATATATATACATACATATATATATATATATTATTGAATACATATATTATTTGTATATATATATTATTGAATATATATATTACATATATTGCACTCTCCTATTGTAAACGATAAATGAGGATCAGCAGTGGATGATGCCTTTCATTTTACACTGATGCATGCTAGCAGGGGCTATTGTGGAGAAAATCAGGTAAGAGAAAGGCATATTTCATTTGCGCTTTCTCAAGTGCAATACCAGCCTAGACTTGCTGCAGGCAGCAAACCCAAAGCTGATCATGGCACTTCAGTCTAATGACTTCAAAACCCTTTAATTTAATGAAACAAGTCTTATGCCACACCTTTCGGTTTGAGACTTTAATGTATTTGTATATATATTATTGAAA